GTAATAGATTCACTCATTTCCTTAACGTCAGATTCCGTTACATTAATGCCAGGGGTGATAATTTTCAATCATATACATTAACACGATACAAACATAATATAAAATTAGTAGGTTATGATCGACAAGATCTCAATAAAAAAATCGAATAAAAAACAACCCATTAAAATACAAATCACTTGACTTTGGCAAAACAAATTTGTTTAGATAAAAAAAATAAATAAATTTCNTAGATAAAAAAAATAAATAAATAAATTTCTTACCTTAATTCTTTGTATATAATATTTTTTACTTTATCAAGTTGATTTTACTAAAGCTGTGATTGGCAAATTTGATTGAGAAAGTCCCGAAATTTTTTATTCACAAGTTACAAGTGTCAACCTGAACACTATCAATTCACATCCTCTCTAATACATTATTTTTTTAATTTTTTTCTTGACACATTATTCACCATTAATGAGTGAGGGACCTACTTGTATATAATGGGATCCACTTAAATGTATGATAGATGATGTGCCAAGAAAAAAATTGAAAAAAAAATGTATTAAAAAGAATCTCACTCTGTACACTAAAAGATTACTAATCTGACTTGAACACAACAACTCAAACTCTGTTTGGTAACAATTGCTTTTTTTTTTTTTTTTTAAATGCATACTTGCTTTATTCTTTTCTTTCTTTTTGGAATGCTAGATAANTTTTTTTTTTTTTTTTTTGGGGGGGGGAGGGGAGGGGGAAGGGGTAAGTCGTTTGGTAACAGTTTTTATTTTGTATTTTGTATTTTGTATTTTGTGTTTTTTTTTTTTAGTTTTTGTCAAAAAAATAATAATGTATTTGGTATGTGTTTTTATTTAATTTTTTTAGCTAATATGTTTTGAAAACAAGCCCAAATTTTGTAAATAGACATTTGATGCTTTGAAAAACAGCAAAAACAGAAACACATACGCAGTGGGTGGGGACTTTAACGAGGTCCACACTTTGAGTCCACCGCTATCTACTCAAGTTTATTAAAAAATCAAATGTTTGATCTATCACAATTCACCTAAATCTATTAAAAAAAAAAAAATTGGCATAACATTAAAAACAAAACTTTTGGCCCCCTCAAATTTTTTTTTTTTGCTTCATATTAAGCATGTATTTTTTGAAATAAAATTTAGACATATTTAATTGTATCCACTCTAATATTGTGTTCTGGTGATATTAATTTGAATAGACCCCTACCTAAATGATTATTAACTTTTTGAACAATGTTATTGAAACCTAATTTTATAACCTAATACATTGCGATATTAAATATAATAGTGAGTCTTAATATTTAATAAACTCTATTATCTATCCAATGGTCACAAATCACTGGGTCTCCATCAATTAAATCTCAAATTAAATACAACTAATATAATTGCTAACTTTTAGACATGTCCGAATATGTTTTTGAATATATTGATATTATTTTTAAAAAAATTTAAATTGTAGGGTTATTTCATTATTGCATAAAAATGTGTGTCGTTATGTAGTAAACTATAAGATTCTAAATTGAAGATTATTACTGCAATTTTATATATATAAAAAATATTGTTGATAAAATTAATTTGTAACTCTTTCAAATAATAAAAATATATTAGGATCAATTATAAATAATAATAATTAGTTGCATTCTTGATAAGAAGTTTTAATTATTATTTTTTTGTTCATGTTATGTATATTGATTTTAAATTTTTTATGTTTAAAAAGTATTAAATATAATTTTAATAAATATAAATTTATAAAATTTTACAGTCTATTAAAAAAAAAAATTTAAACATACTAGTGTGCCACCCTAAAAAAATTTTCTAGCTCCGCCCCTATTTCTCTAATGCTAATTTGGTTTCTCCATAAGTTCTCCAAAACAAGAAACTCAACACTGATCTGGATTTTTCGATGAGTTCTCCGTTGAAGATCTACATTTCTGTGTATATATATTTATATAATAAAATAGCTTACAATTCATATTTCAAAAGATAAACAAAATAACTTTTGTTATTCGTAGTTCAGATCACTTTAAATTTTACTTTAAAATTAATTTAACGACTAATATTAACACTCTAAATTTAATAGGAAAAATAAGCCCCTAAGAATGTGTTTGGAGTGATTTTTTAAAAATACTTTTAAAAATTATTTCTCATAAATACTTTTAAAAAAATAGTGTTTTGAACCGCCCCACTACTACCTCTACTACCACCACCACCACCACTACAAACCGATGTTTAAATTCTTTTATCTTTTCTCTATGTTTGTGATTTGATTTTAGATATGAATACAAATATGTTTATTATTTACTATTTTTTATTATTATATGTTTTCAGGCACAGACAATAACTAGTATATATTTATATAATAAAATAACTTACAATTTAAATTTTAAAAAATAAACAAAATGACTTTTGCTATTCGCAGTTGAGATCACTTTGAATTTTACTTTAAAGTTAATATAACGGTTAATATTAACACCCTAAATTTAATAAAAAAAAATATGTCCTTAAAAGTGTGTTTGGAGTAATTTTTTAAAAGTATTTCTAGAAATTATTTCTCATAAGTACTTTAAAAAAAATAATAGGGTTTGAAATCATCTCACCACTACATCTACCATCACCACCCCCACCACCACCACCGCCACCACCACCATCACCACCGCCACCCTGGTCATTGCCACCCACCACAACTATCATCGTTTCCTATCACCACCACTGCTACCCACTACCTCTCACCCCCACTACAAATTAATACTTAAATTTTTTTATTTTTTTTTATGTTTGTGATTTGATTTCGAATATAAATCACAAATATGTTTATTGTTTACCATTTTTTATTATTGTGCCTTCAGGCACAAGTAATAACTAATATATAATAAAACAGCTTACAATTCAAATCTCAAACGATAAATAAAAACTTTTTTTATTCGCGGTTGAGATCACTTTAAATTATATTTTAAAATGAATCTAACGAATAATATTAACACCCTAAATTTAATAGAAAAATAGGGCCCTAAAAGTGTGTTTAGAATGACTTTTTAAAAGTATTTCTATAAATTATTTCTCATAAATACTTTTAACAAAAAAGTGTTTAAAATCACCTCACCACTACCTCTACCACCACAGCCGCTACTACCGCCACTATCGCTGTCACTGCCACTGCCACCATCACCACCATCATCGTCACCACCACCACCGCCACTGCCACTGCCATCGCCGTTAGCAGTGCCACGACCACCACTCCCAGTACCGCCACCACCAACGTCGCCACTGTCGTTGCCGTCACCATCGCCACCACCATCACCATCGTCGGCACCACCAACACCACCACCACCACCATCGTCATCGTCACCACCATCGCCGCCACCAACACCACTGCCGCCGTCACCACCACCACTATCGTTGTCGTTGTTGCCGCCATCACCACTGCCGCCGCCAGCCACCAACCATCACAGTCGCCCTTGCCGCCACCACAGTCGTTGCCACCCACCACAATCATCACCATCTCCTACCATCACCACTGTCGCCCACCACCTCTCACATCCACTACAAACTAATGTTTAAATTCTTTTATCTCTTCTCTATATTTGTTATTTGATTTTGGATATAAATACAAATATGTTTATTATTTATCATTTTTTATTACTCTATACCTTCAAACACACGCAATAACTAGTGTGTGTGTATATATATATTTGCAATTCTAATTTTTATGAGCTCTTCAATTTTTGTTCAAATCTGGAATTGAGGTGTTGCCTTTCTAGTTGGTTTGATTTTGGTTCATTTCCAAAAAGAAAAATTTAGGAAATTTTGGACAGTCTTGATTTGTAACCGTCCAATTCATGAAAAATCCTAAACACAGAAATTTGACCAAACATGTTTTTTGTTCTTTTTTTAAAAATTTTTTAAACGTAAATAACTATCATTTTCTGTTTTCAATTTTTACCGGGAAAAAATAGACAAAAACTGTTTCTATATTTAATTTTTTTGAAAACAGAAAAACAAAAACATTACCAAATGCATCCTCAATTATCTCTACCTAATTAACTAACATGGAACACACAATATTCAAATGAATAACCCACCAGTTAACAATGGATGTTCCAAGATTGAAGGAATCAAACATTGGATGGCATCCTAATCCAATTCTAACCCAATTACAGCACAAATCATAAAGCCCCATATTCACTTTTTAGTACCGTACCTTCACTTGAATTGCGGTGTCATGCCGTAGCCTAATCGTTTATTTTATAGGTCACAATAACAAAGCATAAGATAACAGAACAATGAGTCAACTAAAACCAGTAACTAAGGGTGCGTTTGGTAGCAAGATCAAAGCCTTTAAACTATTCTGTATTTAAGTATGACAATTAAGAACAAACCCGGTATTCGGAGAAAAAAAAAACCCATCAACATATTCATTAATTACCTCTAAAAGTCAAGGCAGCTGAACATTAATGGAAAACCTTACAGAGCATAATGAGAAAAATCTTTATTACTCGACTAGATTTTGCTTGGCAACGAACATTTTTTTGCAAGTTAGCTAACAGTCTGTAAGAACATGCCAATGAATTAGAAAGAAAGATATGTATGATACCTGGACAAAGTGGATGAAGATGGAAACAGATATATGACATCTATTATAGATCACAACTCAAAGTATGACCTTGTGAACCTACTGCAAGTGACACACCAAGCCTAAGAGATAATCGGGATGTATATTTACGATAATCAATTGATTATAAAGTAAAATGTTGATAATTGGTATATTTGAACTAGGAACCTATGATAGAATAGAAGCATTTTAGAATCTACAGCACAGAAGGCCCTGCCTCCAGCCCGTATTTTTACGAAAACGTCTCCGGTCTGCTTTTGCCATTCTTACAGGACTGCTATTCCATTCAGGCTGTAGTCTGTATAAAAAAGAAAATAATACAAATTAGTTACATTGAGAATTTACTATACCGGTATAGTAAATGAATAATAGATGCTAATGGCTTACATGGGGAAGGCGAAGGACCGGGTGCTGGTTGTGCTGCTATCTGATCGAAGAGAAATGCTACCTGAAAATGCTATCGACCCAGAGTATGTTACCAGACCCGACACTGGACCAGCCGTAGAGAAACTTGACTCTCCTCCACCACGTTGAACTTGGCTAGCAATTGAAAGATTATCAGAAGCCCCATCATCATGATTGTGCAAAATTTGTGACTCGAAGGGTTGTTCATGAACATTTTCTGGATTCTCATCTCTGCCACTTGCAGCAGATTTAGAAGAGTCGAAATACAAGGTAATGATTCCACTGTCCACCTTGCTGTTGTAAGATAAGTTGTCAGCTGAATCATTCTTGTCCAAGTCTTCAGCTGCTGATGCCATGACAGGGCTGTCTAAGACTGCTTCAGCACATGAAATCTGCACCAGCAACAATTAAGAGCCTAAATCAAATTCCAAGGTAAGTCAGAGCACTATCATGCATGCATATCATTCTTTTAAAGTAAACTTTCAGGTACCGACTTATTGAAAGAGGAAGGGCCCAGTAGTCTTAGCATTCCAACCAAATGATTTATAGCAGCAAAATTGGATAAACCTTCTAAGACTTCTAATGTTTTCAGACCTAAAATACTAACGAGCCAAATGATCAATTGCATTAAGGGGGAATATTAGTTTTCTGTATTTGGAACCTATGAGCTTGTCAAGCAACCAATCTCAGGTTCTATACATATTCGCATCACACAGGTGAAAAGGCACCAAAAGTGATATTGAAAGAACATGATGCATAAGCTCTTCTAAAGACCACTGAATAAGCAGCTCAGTGGAACAATTCATCACATACAAAAATGGGGCCACACGACAAATACCCAATACAAACCTGTGCAGAATGTTGTTTAACTTCATTGCCATCATTATCAGAAGATTCGAGGAGTGACTTTAGAGATTTCTGTGAAGCAAACTCTAGCTGGGGAAGCATGCCACTGGAAAAAAATTCCTCTCTCGATGCATCATCCCTGAACTTGTCAGTTGCATTACTATCTGCTTCACCGATTTGAATTGAATCCCCTGGACCACATTCCTTAGCAGCATCCATGTCTATACCATCTTCTGACGAAGATTTCAACTCATCTGGAATGAACAATTCAGTATCCCTTTTTTCTTTCGTCCAACTATCTTTGGCAGAATTGTCATCACAATCCTTTTCTGATGAAGATGTCAATCCATTTGGAACAAGCAACCCTATATCAGCGCTTTCTCTGACCTCAGCAGTTTGTTTATTTTCATCACAAGGCAGGGAGGTGTGAAGACCTTTCTGATCAACCTCACTATTTTCAGTCAAGATCTTGTCCTCACAAAACACCCCTTCATCAATGCAAATGTCCTTGACAATTTGATAAGTGCTCTCTCTGTAACAAACTATCAACTCCGGCAGATCACATTCCATTACATTTTTGTCCGTATATAAATCTGTGTCCTTGTCAAATGATTGTGAATGAATGCTACACGGTGCCACAGAATCACTATATTCATTTTCATTACCATTGGTGAAATCATCCACAACAACAGTGCATTCAAGTTCTGGAGTACTCCACAATTCCTCTCGTTCGTTTGTCTCTGATACTAAATCTGTGACCTTCTGAAATAACTCCAAATGAATGCTACACGGTGCCACTGAATCATTATTTTCCTTTTCATTTCCATTGGTCAAATCATCTACAACAGAGGATTCAAGTTTTGTAGTACTCCATAATTCATCCCTGTTGTTTGTGTCACATGCTAATGAATCTTCATCCCTCCCGCAGTCATTTGATTGACACAAAATACCACTCTGATTTTCTTTCAATTGGGAATCTCTGATTTTGTCATCACTGTAAGCAAAATCATCCACAGCCACAGAGCACTTAAGATCTCGAGTTTTCCAGAATTCATCTTTATCCTTCCTCTCCGATGCTAACATATCAACATCCCTTCCATAGCCATTTGAATGGTACAATATTCCATTCTGATTTTCCTTCATGGTTCCCTTTGGTTCAACTATATAAAAAGCATTGTCGTAATATTCAAACGGTTTAGAATCATGCTTAGAGACTAAAGTTGAATGAAAAAACACAGGTCCGTTATCCGCAGGTACAATTAAATTCTCAATCCATGTCCAAAGTTTGGAAGTTAAAAAAAAAGCATTCATTTAGCTCTTAAAATGCATAAAATCACTAGTTAAGGATCAATGTATATTGAAAGAGTATGCATGACATTAAACTGAGCAATAAATGTAGACAGGATATGGTGCAAGCATTAAATTCAATATCAGGAAACTAACGTCTGAATGGGGCGAGCTGTGTGATCGTCAGAAGGTGAATACTTAAGCCCTTAAAAAATTGAATATCAGATTTGCCAGGGGCAGACCCCTAATGTCAAATTTCAAAAACAGCAGTATTCCAAAAGAGGTGAAGGAAAGCAGCATTACCAGGGTTCAGCATTCACATCGGTTGGGAGGGTTTGGAGAATTCTCAACAACTGTGAAGCAAACATCCACCACAATCACAGACCGTGCCTGTCACAATAAATGGGGTTAGGTTAATGTGTATTAAGTGGTCAACTTAAAAAGGAATGAGAAGATTTCAACTCACTGGAACGATAAAAACTACCGACCACCAATCAATCTTCACTAATTACTAAATTACTAAAGAATACTGTACATTAAATTTTAAGAGTATTTTTCCAATACTCTCAAATAAAAGAGAGTCTCCTAGTGCATGGGAAAGAAATAAAACTACTAACTAAAATTTTTGAACTCCTAAAACACCCAGAACTAGCATCACAGAAAGAAAATCAACATGGGTATAGTTTTGGGACTTAAAAGAGATTCAATATGTTAAATTTAGGAGTAATTTTTACCCTGATTTTCCCTTTTTCCCCCCTGTCCATGGACTTCTTGAGTTATAGTTATAGAACAATATGGGCAAGCCTCACACATACACACACTGTCTCAGATAAATAAATAGTAACTTAGTCACAGCCAAAGAGAAAGGACAAGAAATAAGTTTTACTTTAGAAAACTTCCACATCCCTCAGATAGAATTTACACAATTCTTAAATCAAATATCATAGTTGCAACAACCCCACCATCTCTTTTTGTCTGTTAGCTCTGTCTAGATCTACCCATTTGTTTATCTGGTTTTACCCCAAACAGAAAATGTCTCTCCATAAATCTCATGACCCAAACAGAGAAGACCAAAATAAGAAAATCTGAAAGATTCAAATCAGATCTTCAGAAAATATGAAAATAAAACTGATTTATGTACTTACAGAATAACAATTCCACACCTGTTTGATCATAAACAGGCACCCCTTTTCTCTAATTTGCTTCAGACCAGGCAATCCAATCCGTACTGCAAAAGACAAAGCTCAGCATCTATCATATATTATGCAAAACAATATGAAAACTAAGATGTTTTAGAAAAATAAAAGTAACACTCACAAAACATGCAAAATAATCATTGTCTTCTATTAAAAAACAGAGTAGATCAGCATACAGGGCTGCAAGAAGATTGATTGAAGGATCTAAAGTTTAGAAAACAGACACGGGTAGAGAGAATGGCATGTAAAAAAAATTCATATGCGTCAGAGAGAGAGAGAGAGAGAGAGAACCTTAGCTCTGTGTGGAGTAAAGAAAGAGACAATACAAAAGCAAATTAAAGAGACGATAATCAAAGCTCAGCCGGCGACAACACCAAATGGATGCCGTTTAGTTTGCTGTACAGCAAAAAAAAAAANGGGGGGGGGGGGGGGGGGGGGGGGGGGGGGGGGGGGGGGGGGGGGGGGGGGGGGGGGGGGGGGGGGGGGGGGGGGGGGGGGGGGGGGGGGGGGGGGGGGGGGGGGGGGGGGGGGGGGGGGGGGGGGGGGGGGGGGGGGGGGGGGGGGGGGGGGGGGGGGGGGGGGGGGGGGGGGGGGGGGGGGGGGGGGGGGGGGGGGGGGGGGGGGGGGGGGGGGGGGGGGGGGGGGGGGGGGGGGGGGGGGGGGGGGGGGGGGGGGGGGGGGGGGGGGGGGGGGGGGGGGGGGGGGGGGGGGGGGGGGGGGGGGGGGGGGGGGGGGGGGGGGGGGGGGGGGGGGGGGGGGGGGGGGGGGGGGGGGGGGGGGGGGGGGGGGGGGGGGGGGGGGGGGGGGGGGGGGGGGGGGGGGGGGGGGGGGGGGGGGGGGGGGGGGGGGGGGGGGGGGGGGGGGGGGGGGGGGGGGGGGGGGGGGGGGGGGGGGGGGGGGGGGGGGGGGGGGGGGGGGGGGGGGGGGGGGGGGGGGGGGGGGGGGGGGGGGGGGGGGGGGGGGGGGGGGGGGGGGGGGGGGGGGGGGGGGGGGGGGGGGGGGGGGGGGGGGGGGGGGGGGGGGGGGGGGGGGGGGGGGGGGGGGGGGGGGGGGGGGGGGGGGGGGGGGGGGGGGGGGGGGGGGGGGGGGGGGGGGGGGGGGGGGGGGGGGGGGGGGGGGGGGGGGGGGGGGGGGGGGGGGGGGGGGGGGGGGGGGGGGGGGGGGGGGGGGGGGGGGGGGGGGGGGGGGGGGGGGGGGGGGGGGGGGGGGGGGGGGGGGGGGGGGGGGGGGGGGGGGGGGGGGGGGGGGGGGGGGGGGGGGGGGGGGGGGGGGGGGGGGGGGGGGGGGGGGGGGGGGGGGGGGGGGGGGGGGGGGGGGGGGGGGGGGGGGGGGGGGGGGGGGGGGGGGGGGGGGGGGGGGGGGGGGGGGGGGGGGGGGGGGGGGGGGGGGGGGGGGGGGGGGGGGGGGGGGGGGGGGGGGGGGGGGGGGGGGGGGGGGGGGGGGGGGGGGGGGGGGGGGGGGGGGGGGGGGGGGGGGGGGGGGGGGGGGGGGGGGGGGGGGGGGGGGGGGGGGGGGGGGGGGGGGGGGGGGGGGGGGGGGGGGGGGGGGGGGGGGGGGGGGGGGGGGGGGGGGGGGGGGGGGGGGGGGGGGGGGGGGGGGGGGGGGGGGGGGGGGGGGGGGGGGGGGGGGGGGGGGGGGGGGGGGGGGGGGGGGGGGGGGGGGGGGGGGGGGGGGGGGGGGGGGGGGGGGGGGGGGGGGGGGGGGGGGGGGGGGGGGGGGGGGGGGGTTTTTTTTTTAATTTTTTTTTTTAGGGGGGGGGGGGGGGGGGGGGGGGGGAAATATATATATATTTAGATATAGATATATATTATTGGGGGTTCTGACTGAAATTCCCTGTCATGTGGTTTGTTAAATCAAGGTCAAACATTTTAAGAATTACACTAACTTTCTCTGAACCGTTAGACAGTTTTAGCATAATAGAAATGAGGCGTAAATTTAGATATTTTTAATTTAAATATTGGTAATTTATTTGGGTTAGGTCATGATAAATTTATTTTTCATGAATAACTTAATCTTGATATAAACGGTCTATTTTTGACTGGACCGAAAAAAGGATTACTCAAGATGCGTGCAAGTTGACACGGACAACTCTCAACATTAAACCAAAAAAAATAAAAATGAAAAACTCAATATCGAAAAACACTATATTTTATCAAAAATCGAGTATATTATTTTTTTATTTAGTAAATATCAAGTAATAATTTTGTAATATTTATATTTGAAGTAGAAAAACAGTTACATTTGTTGACAAAGTTGTTGTGGTCCCTACTATCGATATCAAAAGTTGTAACCAACTTTTCTAATTTTAATGCTACCAATTACAAAACACTAATTTTTGTTTATTCTCTACCAAAGTTATCAATAAAATACACACACAAAAACAACACTTCTCTTTTTCTAACATGCACGAATAGATCATCTATTATTAACTTAAGTTTGATCCAATATTTTTTAATTGATTTATATCAACACATGATAGATGATTTATTTTTCAATAATTTTTTAAAAAAACATTGTATTAGGGTTAATATAAATCTTCAGAATCTCCTTGTGAAAACTCGACTCAATTGCAGAAATTTTTAACTTTATTTCCTTGGTGCAATTGTTTTTTCATATTCAAAACTATTGTTTTTGTTATAAAAGTGTAATTTAAATTCTTCTTTTAGGTATAAAAGTGTATTTGCGTATTCTATGACGGATTTAGATCCTAAAATTATCCAAATTCAAAAATAAGACGGTGCACATCCGTCCAAAATGATCCTCCATTAAAAAAAAAAAAAAAAAAAAAAAAAAAAATATTGAGTAGGAGTCAAGAAAGAGACTAATACATGCGGATAAGATTAATGCATCACTATACGATTGTTCTGGTGTGTCTTTTTTTCTCGGCCAAGTAGAAATGCAAATAACTTGTAATGCATAAAGAATTAGATTGTTTAGGCTTAGACACGATTTGGGATTGTAACAAGTGTTAAAAATTTTACTAAATATTTCATATAAGAAAGTGCAATATATTCATTCAATTCGTAGAAAGAATTAACAAGATTCGTTAATTCAAATTTTTGATTCGTCAGACATTATTATAATATAGAAGAATGATAAGATTAGAATTCATGACATTGAAGTTCAATCACGGAAACAGTGATCATAAGGTGAATCGCTAATATCTTCAATTATTTACGTTCATTTGATATGCAAATTTTAAATATTTTTTTTAATAAATGTGATATTGTTGGACTAAATATACATTTGATCCATTTTTTCCCGATAACATAAGTAGGCAGGGTAGGGTATAGGGCGTAGGGTAGGGGTACGGGGTAGGTAGTACTGGTCATTGGGATGAAAAAGTAGTTTAGGCCCTGGCATGGAGAGGGTACCTACCTGCCAAACCATTTTTTGTGGGGTAATGTAAGTACTTGCTCATTAATTCCTTTCTAAAATGTCCACGTCAAAATCAAAGTAATTAATAAAAAGTATATTGGATCATTTTTAAAAATTTTCTATGTTCTTTTATAATTTTTATTTTTTCTTCATCCGAATTTTCTTTTTTTTTTCTCTAAACTTTATTGCATGTGTAGTATACATATATACACACATAAATATATTATTTATGTAATATGCTGCTTTAAGATCACTTTACAAAATAATAACAATATATATATTATGGTGTAATGACAAACAAAATGACTGAATTAAAAAGTTCAACGGTCAATCCATAAAGGAAGGTAATAACGTCTTAGTCAGTCATAGGAGTATGAGGATTCGAATTTAAATTCTATTATGCCCTCTTTCATGTTGTTTCTCGATCCTTTATGGCCCTGTCTTACTATTATGGATGTAAGAAATGGAAATTGTGATAATTAATTTTTTATGGTATTAATAATGATGTATCAATTGATATTAGGAAAAAAAAATATGAAAATAATCATTTTATTTAAATGATATGTAGATTATGGCAGTACCCAATTCATCTCTGGAGATAGTTCTTCTTTTAATGATGAAATTCCATAGTGACAGTTTTGTCTAACTCTTTTTCTTTTTGTTCAAGGGTCGAGGAAATTTGGGTCAATTTAAGCACATATCGATTAATTTTCTCTCTGATCCAGTCAAAGTAAAAGTGCAACTAAAGTAGGGTTGGGTGGGTTGAGAGGTCAACTTTAGTCCAACCCTAGGTATATAATCTTCAACCTTAGGTATATATTCTTCAACCATATCTCTATCTCAACCCGAATATTGTCTGAGTTTAATTCGGGCAGACTCGGGTTGAATTTGAGTTACTTAATTCAAGCTGATTTTAAGTTAAAAATTGGATTGAGCTTGAATTACTTAATTTGGGTTAATTTTTTAAAGTGTAGATTTAATTTTTTTCAAATGATATAAGATGAAAGGTGAGACGCCGATGAAAAGAGAGGGAATGAGAGAAGGAGGAGTGACGAGTGAGAAAGGGATCTGAAAGTGATAGAGATACAGGGGTAAAGACTTGAAATGAAGTGAAAGTCTACACTCTAAAGAGTGAAGATAAATATTAATCTTTGTTAAATATATATTTATGTATATTGGGTTGAACCCATAAGAAAAAAATCTTTCATGACCTAACTTCAAGGAATTGTCAATAATTAAATTCAGAACATCTGATTTTACAACTCATCCATGTTAATTTAGCATTGTAAAGTGCAAGAAAGAGAGAATTACGTCATTCAAAAAAGTTAGACAAAAAATTAGTAAGTTGATTCTGATGATGTATAAATAAATTTATACAAACTCAATTGAGTGCGATGCGAATTTATTAAACTTAATTTCTACGCAGTATGAAGTCGACCCAAGTATGTAAGACATAAGTATCCAATTAGAATAATTTGAACGAATTATAAATTCAGACGTCCTAAATTCAAATTTTAATAATTCTTTGTGACCAAAATATAATAAATTTATCTCTCATAAATATTTTAATTTCAAAATAAATGATCTGTCTTCGACTAAATTAGCACAAACGCCCCCATTCACCATTGACCAAAAAACAGAGAGTAGTCAATTAGATGGAGACGATTACATCACTAGCATGCCTCCCTGTTTGAAGTGGACACTATGGAGACAATACCTGTCTGTATTCTCTGAATTTGTTTTGAGTGTCACACATTCCACATATCTTGACAAAACGTTTATCCACATTGATGGTGACCCTGTCGGCTAAATGTGGCTATAAGACCAAATTGCAACAAGTTTTACA